TGATGTGTTACGTCTGGACCTGATTCGGGGAACATGTCAGTGTTTATAATGTTGCTTCTACAAAAAAGCTTCCCTTGAATGCCCTCTCTTTGCTGACCACAAACATACCCCTGTATGAGCTTCGATTGGCTTGGGGACTGGGCAGAATGCCTGCCAATTCGCTTGGTCACAGTAAGCTCTCAAGGTTAACTGGAAGTCTGCTCCTTGCGAACAATAAAAGCTTCTCTCTGCTAAACCTGTACCCCTCACTCTGCGGGACTTACCCCAAACTTGGCACTATTGTTGTGACTGCAACATCGCTTACGTTTAGCCCTCCTAAGAGTGTTGCGATATGCCTGCACGGATGTACCGGCGCTGCGGTGATTGGGAGAAGTTGACCTGATTTCAAACCACGACAGATTGAGGGATAACAAATATGAAAAGCTTTCCCCATTTTTGCCTCACTTCACGCGACATAGTTATTTGGCCAAGTTGCCGTTTATCATTATTTATCGTTCTTCATGAACTGTTTGTAGCCCAGACTCTCCTACCGCCCAGAAAAGACAGGCCTTGTTGAGGGTATTCTTGAAGGTTCTCTTCTTTTTTCTTTCTCTTATGAGTCTACTAGCACTAATGTTCCACAGTTGAGCACATTATAGTATACACATTTTTGCTTTCACAAATGTGCCTTCAAGACGGCACGGGTGAGGATTAGAGTTTTGAGAGCAGGGTAAGCGTCTACTGTCTTCACCTAGTGAATTTGAGCACCAGTCTCCACCCTTGTGGGCCGTCTACCCTTCCTATGGAGGAGGATTCCTCAAGTCGGCTGATCGTGCAATTTACCTGTAATGATTACTTTTCAACTAATCTGCTTCACTAAAATACGTTCGATTCAGCTACATTCATCGAAATGGTCTCGCGTACGCGGATAATTTGCCATACGTTGCTCATCGACAAAACACCTGCGACGTCAACGGGAACACTACCAAAATAGAAGTGGGTGGATTTGCTCTCGACATGCATTTTCCTCATTCCGCAAATGAAGTTGTCATGGACGCGCTAAATGAGAATACACGTGCAGTGCCCCACAAGTTTGATTTCACGAGCTCACTAGACTTAAAAAACGCAAAAAAACTGACTCCTAGCCTCATATTATCTGGCTATCCAATTAAACCCCAAGGCTAACAAGTTGAGGTCCCATCCAGCAACTGCGTCTGGAGAAAAAAATAGTGGTGTTTAGTGAAACGATAAGACTGGAGATTTCGAATTAGCACAACTTTTCTGCGATATCTTCGCAATTTTTTGCTTTTTCAAAACCATGTTCTGCTAGAATTTCTTTCAGGTGGCCTATTTTCTCCATCCCGACGAACAGTCTATGATCGACTGGTTGCTAGGATTTGGCCCAGTCAACATCGGAATCTCTGTCACACCAGATATGAAGCCCTATAAGGGTGGTGTCTTCACACCAAACGCATATGACTGCAAAAATAAGGTTTGCTTTTTCCCAGAAAGTATCAGAAACTCGAACAGATCAATCAAGACTCCTTTCAGGTGGTTGGACTACATGCTCTGTTGATCACCGGTTACGGTACAAGTGAGTCCGGTGAGAAGTACTGGATTGTGAAGAACAGTTGGGGCGATACCTGGGGTGTTGAGCACGGCTACGTATATTTCGCACGTGGCATAAATGCATGCGGTATAGAGGATGAACCTATAGGTATACTGGCTTAGGATAGGAGTTAGGAAATGTATACATTGTTACCTTCGAGCTAATTCATTTTGCTGTTGAATTACTGTAAAGCTACCCTGAATCAGGGTTCGGCCATATTTGAGCGCTTCTTGAAGCTTCTCAAAGTACTTCTTACATTTTCTTTGTTAACTTTACTTCACCAAGTGACAATTCTGAAATAAAGTACTTCAAATGGTTTTTTTTTTCTTTCCACTCCACTTGATGAGTTTCTTGTCCACCTAAAAAGTACAGCATATGACTGGAAAGGAAGCCACATGCGCTCCTGCACCAAAAGCAATTTTGCGACCGTGATAATCTTGCCATTAACTTCGCCTTTTCTCCAGCCTTTTCTTCATCTCTACGGAAATTTATATCATTAATCAAACAAAAAGTAATCAAGGCAGCAAATCAATTCATCTCGAAGCTGATTATTGAACGGATGAATTTTCTAACGTTTTGTACCTCTAAAATCCTGATTCGTGTGGTCACTATGTATGCTAAGTTGCCACACCCTGAATTAAGTTTTCAGACATGAGCCAAACTGATTTACATAAAAAAGGTCGAAGCTTCAACGTTGATCTTATTTTTTTTTGAAAAGAAGGAACACTTGCAGTAATAATTACGCTTAAGGTATCCGATCGAAACAGGGGCTACATTATACGAAGTTATACGATCACTCGTTCAGAGAAGGTTGACAAGGATAACAAATATTAACCAACGAAAGAGATGGGAAACTAGGGAAGTGCCTAAGTGTTTCCTCTACAAGAGCAATAAGGAGTTCTCAGTCAATCCAATGAGCCCTGCCCTGATTATAAAGATAAAGGATAAAGCATTTGCCGTTGATCAATCCCTTTTTGGGATGCGGCACGCATTCTACTTCCATTTGTACATTCGTAGTGGCGTTTGAATGCGATGTGGCCTATACAATGACTTGCGGGGGCCAGCCGATGTACAAGTCAGTGTTTTTATCCTCCCAGACAAGTCTGGTACCAATTAACCGACCCCGGAGGGATGGAAGGCTTGGTTGGCCCGGGCGACTCACGACCCAGGATTTGATCCCCGGACCGCTCGCGTGGTAAGCGTGCCACTTGGCCACTACACAACTTCCGCCTCCTGCTGTGGTTAGGGAATGTGAAACTAAAAGAAGGAGAATGTCAGTTATGAGCCTTGGTTGAGCTTGATATCAGGGTGAAATCTGTTCTGGGCAGCCATAGAAACAGTCTGTCGCAACAACTGTATATCGCGACTGTTCCACGCAAATCAAATCTTATTATATCGTAGCACGAAATCCAGCTTCTATTAACCTACAGGCATTAAGAAAATCAACTATTCAATAGCCCTATTGACACACCCTCTTTCTGAAGAAATTTTAACGACGCTTTAACGCTAGGCTTCTATCGCCTTCTTTTAAAGTCTGTAATTTGTTGGCAAGGGGAAGCAGAGGAACCCTTAGCCAAAAAGACCATGTAATTTAGTACATGACCATTCAGCACATACCTAATATTCAATAGTACACACCGTGTGCCGTAAAATTCGAAAGGTCCTGTGGTGGTCTCACTCGCTCTTACCTAAGATCAGGCTTGAAAAAACGAAAGAAGCTGAAAACGAGACTAGTTGAGATCAATCTTAGAGAGGCTTCAACCAACTCTAAAACTGAATCTTCATGGGTAATGTAGATGAACGGATGGCATTAAGTAAAATTTCGGACAAAACCAAATGCATGGCGCACCTCAAAAACTCCGAAAAGCGCAGTTCAGTTTGCAATTTATACGTGCTGCCTGTGTTCTGTAAGCGAGATAAAGAAGATACTAGAGCTGTAATCGGCAACATGACCAAGTACCGGGTGTATTAGCTTGTCGTGGGAATTGAGAATAGAGGCAGGATATCTGGTGTTGTGCAAAAGAGGGCGGTGCGATGTATTCCATCACTAGCCTTTCCAAGCGGTGAATGTACCACTGCCTTTCACACGTGTTACTAATCATAGAAGAAAAAAACTTTTCAACAAACAGACAACAACTGCTTAGCGGACAGTTTAGTTGGGCAGGGTAGAATCTGATCAACTGTTATGGTCGACATGTTTCTGGACAGCTTATTCTCACTAGGCGTGCTCCCTATTTGGCTCGGTTGGTGTGGTGTAGTAGTTTCCCCAGAGGATCACCCGTAGCGACTTCCATTACAGTCCAACTCTTTCCGATCCCCCATAAATCTTTCGACGTTTGTGTCAGTCAATTTCGCGGTCACATATGAGAAAAGGAAATAATTTCAGGGGACGCTTTTCCAACGGCGTCCGTCCCCGTTTTTTCCTGGTGAGCGCCCGTTTTTCTCACGTCCGCACCAGGCACGTCGCGAGGTAGGGGAGCACCGCAAAAAACGATTACGAAAATGGCTCGTGCTCGGTGGTGGAGCGGTAAAAAATGGCGATATCGGACGAGAAGTAAGAAGCGTTTTTCTCGCGGTCACCAACCGCATCAACGCCATTGCCAGCACACTTGAAGTGGAGAGCGCAATGGGACTACTGAGAGTCAGGCAAAAAGCGTAAAAGGATAAAATTGCTGGTCAACCACGAAAAAAACGCGCAACCCGAAAAATGTCAACGGCCTTTCGTGCTTGGCAGTGAAAGCCACAAAAAAACTTCTCGACTACTAGCTTACAAAAAAGGATTCTTTGTGTTCTGCGGACTGGGCAGGGTGCAAACATCACGTCCATCTTCATGTGAACACCGTAGCGAAGTAGTTGGCGTTGACAGTCCAACTGTATAGTTAAATTTAGGCCACAAATAGCCCTCCTGTGCCGCTGATGGAGGAAATTCCATGAACCGAAGGCCATGCTGGCGAACTTGCATTGCAAAAGTTCTAAAGTAACATCATGTTACCGGTTAGATCAGTGTTATGTTCCGACAGTCAAGGCGTTAGGTAAGTGGCGCCACCTCCCACTGACTTGGTGGTCAAGTCAGAGTCGTATCGAAGGCTTTCCACGACAACCTTCCCTTCTATTAGTCTAAGGACCAACTGTTCAGTGTCAAACACGTGGAATGGTGGAATAAGCCCCTCATCTTTTTTCATGAAGATCTGCCAAGACCAGACCAGAGTGCCATTTTTAGGGTCGCAGCACAACGTAGGAGAATAAATTTTAGAAAGCATCTAACATCGTCCAATTTCGTAATAGTATGCGCCGCGCACTTTACTTTCTACTCCTACACGTATGAATGCACATCTACAATGAATTGCATCACCGTCCAACGTGTAGGGTCAACGCGTTTCCCTCAGTAAGTAGTAAAAACCGACTGATGGAGGGTCTTGGATGCCCTTCACGAGATCAGATCCGGGAAGGGACCCAGGATCGAAGCCTATGTCGCGTCATAATCATGTGTGATTGGCGTCGCCTGCCACTGCCTTCCTCTTCTACTTTCTGTTCAGCCAACCAACTTTCACAGAATTTGCTTATATGGGTATATTCCCAATGGGGTCAGATTAATGCGTTTCCATCACTTATTGCCTCAGTGCCAAATTCTCTCAAACCTAAAGCTGAACACAAAGCTCTCAAAGTGGTGACTCCACTGTTAAAAGCGCCGTGAATAATTGCCTCCAAAACGCGTAACATTTCTTGCGGGAGCGTAAAGCCGCAATGGTGGGAGCAGTTCATTTACAATCTTAGGCACTATTCCGGTTGATCCTTGAAGGAAGTTGAGCCAGAGAATGGCGGCCAGGGTGAGAGAGTCACTTTCCGTCACAGCACTGACAGGGACTCAGCTTTAGGGTTTCATTGTTCGAAGTTTTCTTTCAAATGTTTTTGTTGCTCTTCATTGTTTTTTATGTTGATTTTGAAATCATTATATTTGTGTTTGATTGTAGGACGCGGGACGCAACCGAATTGCTGCCCACAAACCAGGGATTAGCGCGATTCAAACGGAGTATGTACGTACAAGGCTAGAAATTCGATTTATCCGCTGTAGCACATAAACCTGATGAAAGTAATGGATGTTGGAGCGAGCCTCCACTATTCTTTAGCACAGGCAACGAGTTTGCACGCGTTCCGCCCGCTATAGCGCCTGTCGAAGCGCAGTCTATAAATGGAGCATTCTTTGAAAGCAGACTGGCCAATTCTTCGACGCTCACATTCCAAATGTCGTAATATGCCGTGAAAAAAGAGTGGCTTGTTTGCTACAGAAAGTACGTCCATTGCTTCGGAACGCGCGTTTGCGTTAGTGAACGGGATTCGAAATAGCGGTAATAATGCATGAGCTATTGGGTGCTCTTCTGCCTAACGGCCTATTTAGCAGCTCAAAGCTTTATCTAACATAAGTTTATTTGACTTAACAAAACACGAGGTTGATAATATGATTCCTAGCGGCTAACGTTTCGGCGGTTTCGCCTTCTTCGGAGCCTAAAAAGGTGGAAACCAATTCATGATTTATTCGACCAAATGTCTCGCTACCCTACGAGAGCTTCGAGACCAGCTAAACATCACATAATTAGTAGGCAGATAAGTACCGTACCTTCCTAGATCAGCGGAATCAGCTCACAGGGAGACTGTATAGCGGATATTTGTTAAGTCAAATAAACTTATACTATAACAACCGAGTTCACTCGAGAGTCCGATCATGGAGGCTTCATCTAGCAAGGTTCAGCAGATTAGTATTGCCTCGCAGCATGACTATGTAAGCTGTATCATCGATATCGAATGTTATACACGGGGAGCGAATTCCGACTGTTTTCGGCTCCATTTTACGTATCTTTCACCTGTTGCATCTGTTGTATTACGGTTCAAAAGTACCGTCCCTGCAACACATGCTCACACCTTTTTCAAAAGCTTCCATTATTCTGAAACTAACGACAATATTTTGATACCAATAGACTGATAGGGACAATATGTCGAAGTTTCATCCACAAGGGTGGCTACGGCACGGTGCAACTTTGTCTGGCGTATTATGCGCGTAATGCATGGTATGGCTCATCAGGCCTCAAAACTCCATGGCCTATAGACCCTAAGGCGGAAAAATTAG